TTTATCGACAAATGATACTTCATATCGATTTAGGAGCAGAACTCGGGATAGATTACAACGATCCACCATCTTTAAGATTGCAAGCCATATCACGTAAAGTCTTCAGTCATGTGACATACACCGTTACTGAAATAGGATCAAATAGCGAATGAATTCTAGTTTTTAAACTGGACGAGTACCATCTGATGTTAAATAAACATATTATTAAATTTTCATCTATTGATTATCAGTTTAGTTTGTTTTTTATTTCTAAAGATCATGACTGCAACAACTTTCTAAAGAACCAGTAACGATATAGTTATAACTGAATAGATTATCATGCAAACTATTGTATATCTTGAATGTTTTATTCCTTAGTAAGTAGATTTAGTGTAAACTAACCAATCTGAACTTTTTTCAGGTGGATGGTTCATGTATTGATATGATTGTTCTCTTGACTTTTATTTCAACGCTAAAATAAATATTTACTTGATTTGGCGTATGAGTTTTTAATTTGTTACCAAAAGGCATAAAATACTTGGCGTGTCGTGTCATGATCATATAAAGGGATGCGAATTGATGACACTCATTTAATCCTCTTTCATAAAACCATATACTCGATGATATCTGGTCTTATCTTCTCTGACAAATATCTGTTAATTGTTTGAACGTCACCATTGTTAATAATTATTGTTTGTTTTGTTTTTCATCTTTAGAAAGCTTAAGTGGTGACCGATTATTGGTTTTGGTAAATGTGTTTGGTACCATTAAATTTGAACAACATCCTACCCATATTTTCTCCGAAACATTTTTCTTAACACAGGAATCAAATTTATGGAGAGTACAGTCAGTTACATTTCGCTTCATCGACTAATCCCTATAGTTTTGATGTTGATGGAAACATATTTTTCGTATTGCTTTTTGATTTTGGAAGAGAATATTTGTATTACTGTCATATTTTTTCATAATTTTTATATGTAGTACGTCAGTTATCTGGGGATTTTGTAATAATATTTGGTTGTTGTTTGCAATTCATTTGTTGTAAGCTAATAATCGAAACATGTGTTTAAAAAGAGAATTTAAAATGGAAATTATCCTTTGTTGTACTGTTTTTATCACTATTATGTTTGTATATTTTATCAGTATGTGTGGCGATGTAATATTGTTCGAAAATCAAGGTAAATACAGAAATAATAACTCACAAACTGTAAATAAACTCCAAAAATACATATATTCCAAAATGAATGTAATTTCCTAAGACTTTCTAAACAATCTAAGTAGATCTTGTTTCAGATGTTTCGCTGCAGACTTGTCTTTAAATGTATACTGTAATACTGAATTTTTGATTATTCCATCAATGTACTTCGCACAAGCAAGCATATTTAATTCAGTTCACAAATGACCCATTAGATTGCCTAATTACTTGATTTTATTATTTACCAAATAAAGAAGTATGTGGTATTGTTTTATTTTCAATTTAGAGTATATCAATGAGCCAATTTTTTTACAGTGTACATCCATAGCTGTTTATCAGTTACTCAGTTAAAACGTAGGACCAGGCAATATAAATGCAAGTTCCCATAAACTCATAAGCACAGAATAAAAACCAAATCCATAGAAACAATTACTTCAGAGGTAGTAAAAAAATAAACTTCATATGAGGATAAGACACAGCGAGAAATAAAGGTATGAAGTACATCTAATCTCACGGTTTAAAGGAAGACAAAGAGTGTATAAACCTAGGCAATTGTAGTTGATTCTGAGCCATGTCACCCAGTCTCCAACCATTGGTTACGATAGTCACGCGGACCCCAACCAAGTAGTCTAACTCTACCAACATGGCTCAGACTATAAAGTAGTGACTTGAATGACTGATGCCACGTTTTCAGTTGGCCACACCTAACTTTCTTCCAACCATCTCCAACACTAGTTAGCATTGCGCGTCGTGATAACCGGTGTTCAGGCATACGTAACACATGGCCCAGCCATCTCAGTCGATGAAGATTCACAACCTCATCAACTGACTTACCATCATTAAGTAGAACAGAACAAACTACCGCGCAATATACTCGTCCTTTAATTGATAGACGGATATCTCGCCTTCGCCATAGGTCACGTAAGTTGGCAAAGGCCGGACGAGCTTTTTGCATCTGTACTGAGATTTCGTCAGACACCAACCCATTGGGGCTGATCAGACTTCCAATATAATTGAAGTTGTCAACTCGTTCGACTACTTTACTTCCTATCCTTAGTTCAGGTGTTGACGCAGACCAGTCCTGAAGCAACAACTTGCATTTACAGGGGAAGCGCATCCCAAACAGGCCCGCAAATGCCCTGGTATGGCCGAGAGTCCGCTCTCCCTCTCGAAAGGCTCTCACATGGTCACGCGTATATAGCCTCTACCAGGGAAGTCCTACTCACTACTTTCTCGTGACGGGTGTTGTTTACGAAATTGAGAAGAAGAAAGGCGAATGTCTGGCGCTTTAACCGGGTTGGTGGATATGGGAGACCCACTTAGGGGAGTTGGAAAACCCTGAATCTAAGCCAATGGGGCACATTGGCTCCAGTATCCTGCGAGGACAAATGGTGTATGAACCAATTGTTGGTCACCGGCTTCCATGGGACTGCATATCCTTATGATGCTCCACTGCCTTGTGGATCAGACCTTCAGGTCGAAGGCTCGGGGAGTGGCTCCCTATGAAAACCACCTGTTCCGGTTTGGGCACCCGGGCAGTATCACAGCCCTCTCACAAATCAAATGAGATCTAATGCCTCTTTGTATCAATATGTGTCCAAATAAAATAAAATAATCGGTCTACAGAGTCAAATACTTCTTTAAAGTAAAGAAAAACTATTGTCGAACGCCGATAAACCTGCCTGTTTTAGAGTCTGACGAAAGGTGAATATGTGATCGATGCAGCCACGATCAGGTCTGAAGCCGGCCTGATTTTCTCGTGTTTCCAGTTCACGAGTCTTTATTAGGCGTTCGATAGTTATTGAGGCTAGTATTTTAGATGCTACATTAGTCAAACTAATCCCTCTATGGTTATTACAGGATGATTTTGATCCTTTCTTATATATTGGGACAATCAATGATTGTGACCGACCAGTCAGATGGGATTACATCCAACTCTCAGATTTTAGCTAAAGTATTAGTCAACCTAACAGCTAAAACTGGACCACCATACTTAAAAACCTCTGGAGCCAATCCATCTGCCCTTCTTCATTCCAGATTAACTATAGCCTTTCGAACTTCAGCTAGGGTCGGGGGCTGTTTTATTCATGATGTTTGGACATTATGGTAGTTATATAGTGGCTGAAGGTCAGCCGAACTGCTCCTTAGTGTTTCAGCTATCGTTTTAAATGTCTGGGCTGAGAGCACTGTCCTTCTCCGAAATTCTTACACTTTGTTAGTCGTTCACTTTTCCTTCTCTTTCGTTACTCACTGGTTAACCTAGATCTGATTTGTTTTCGCTCATCGTCGTGTTCAGAGCCTGGTGGAATGAGTTTACGAGAAACAATCAGTGCTATAGATGTCTCATAAATTCACCGATTTTTCATAACCCTTTGATTTAAATCAGTAATAGATGTCACTGCTGTCTTCATAGTTGTGTTAGCGCCGTGCTTTTCGGGACCTTATCGCCGGAGACGGTTATCTGTGGGATAAAGTGAGGTGTGCATTGTTAGGGTCGGCCTTTACTAACTCCAGCCTTCCTTTGTGAAAAGACAGCATCGCTTTTATGCTGGTTGTTTAGAGGAAACACCTTACTGCCGTCACATCTCTGTACAGTCAGCGGTATGACTTTGCCTTCGGACCTTGGGTTTGCTGCTTCCAGTCTTATCATTCTTCAATCGACCTATCTGGAAAGGTAGGACCTTGAGGAACGATTGTTTCAGCCAGTATAGCCGAATTTGTTCATCACGAATGGCAAGGCCGACCCCCACGTCAAGGTAGTAGCAACGGTAGGGATAGTCGTTCATATTTAGTGTTTAGCTTACTTCAAACTTCTAATAATTTTGCATGCACCACTGATATACCCCGTTAGTCTTGCGTACCATTTTTATCCATTCGTTAGTTAGACAGTAATCAATCCCACTAAGTAGAGTGATACCGTAGTATTGAACAGTTGATTACTTAAAGTACGTTATGTTTTACTTAGCCGTCAGACTATCAGAAATCATCATTTTGCTCGTAACTGCAAATTGTTATTTAGAAAAAAATATAGTTTGGAACGTTTATAAGTTGAAGTAATCAGTATACTTCTAACACAGACATCCACCTATTCGTTTCAGAAAAGCGTGAGATTCTAAAAATCAAAGCATGTTTACGTTGTGTTATAAATATGACTAACACTCATTTGAGAGCCCAGATGAAATGTTCTACGGATAAGAATTAGTAAAAAAGATAACGTTCCATTTTGAGGTTTTAGACAAACTAATAATTGTTGCATGATTGTTCACGTCTAATGTTTAGGGAAGCTAAATTCTAGGGATCAGTTAAATATGAGTATTATTCTCTCCCAGTAAACTTTAATAACAAGTTTAAAAAAAGTATAAATTCAAACTCGAATACAAAGAGGAACTTATTATTTTGAAAATGACAACAAAGAAATACGTCTTACAACAGGAAAAACAGTAACATTTGTTAATACTTCTTTATTAAAAAAGATAAAATGCTTATTCTGTAGAAGAGATAATAGTATGGATGAAATAAAATCTGACCATAAACATATCGTACTTATAGTGATATAATATTTGCTGGTTTGTACACAATAGCATATATGTATGGGCGTATAAGAGGTACGGTAAGCATAAAATAGGAACAAAAAATCGAGCCTACAGGATCTGTATACCATGTGTAGTAGCAACAATAATAACGATAATATTGCAAGTCATATCGGTGACTGTAGTGCCAAATAAACAATGACAGTTAAAATATAGGTAAACTGTACTGTTTTCCGAAAACAATAGTGACAATTATCTCCAGGAAATAAACTACCATAAAGGAAAATGCAATTGTCCTATTTTGAAGCATTATCTCTTGACAGACGTGTTCTTTTCTTATCTGTCAAAGGACTGGTAATTAATAAGCGTTTACGATTACCGGCATGATTGTTGCCACTCAAAGTGGTTGTTACAGAACTGTTATTATTAGTATTATTAGAAGCAGTATCCACTAAATTGCTCGGTAAGTTGTTTTCGTCATTTGGACCAGACACTGAATTATTTTCTTTGGCTGCTAATTCAGCTTTAAGTTTGCGCTTGAGTGTCACTTTAAGAGGCTCCAAGCGCCTGGGTTCTAGTTTTTGGTTACTATCGCCATTAGAGTTGATAACTGTTGTGGATGTAGTGGTAGTGACAAGAGTAGAAGCGATATTACCATCATTTAATAAGGTGATTTTCGAATCGCTGACATTAGGTGTTTTTGGAATTATATTTTCAACTTCTCTTTCTTCGTTGATGAAACAGGTTACTAGATTGCTCTCTCCACCATTTTGTTTAACTTCAGTAGACAATTTATCTGAATTTTTACTGACCGCAACTTTTTTAGTAGGAATATTTGAGTCAGAGTATAGTACAGGTCGGTAATCCGGTCCATATATTTTTAAACCGACATGATCTGAACATATCCATCGAACGCTGAATACTATGGAGGGATTGGTGACGTCATTCAGGCTGGATTTAGCTAACTTCCAACGATCAATATCTAAGTTATCAACCTGTATACAATTACGGTTAGCATGTTCTTCACAATATGAATTCGGACATCTCCAACATAAGTGGTTTGATGGATGACCACATAAATCACAATAATGCCATGGACAATACCATATACCCAATGGTGGTACAGAAAGACCAAGACAATTTAAATGGTATGCTTTAGAGCATGTTGATTTATCGCACAATATTAGTTCACCACCATCGCCACATCTATGCACGTAAAAGAAAAAAAAAAACGGCCAATTATTATTACAAATACAAACAAATACGGCCATAAGTTCAGTTAATACTTCTGTAAACAAAAAAATAAGTAGATAGTAGTTAAATTAGACGAAGAAGTAAGTTTTGCTTCCATTAGGACTTTAGAAAACTCAATTTACAAATAATCGCTTTTCAATTTTGGTCAATCACTATTTAAAGTGGACATATTTAGGTGATTAGCAAACATGACCATGTGTATGTAATATTTATCCAACCGTCAAATTAAAGAAACAATATATTAAGACAACCATGACACCGAAGTAAGACAATTCGGATTCGACAAAACTGTTGAGATGGGTGACGTCATCAAACAGATAATTATCCTCAGGATTGATCCGGAAGTCTTAGACGAATATATGTCGAAATAATTGCACAACTACCTGAGTGTATTAATATGTATAAAAAAAACTAAAGGTATTTCATATGTGTTCGAAATATTCAGTCAAATAACCATCATGAGTTACAAGTCAATTGAAAAATTAGTAATCTAGGGTAAAAAAGCAAATAATGGTAAGTCCATTCTGGTACATCCTGTCATTTATACTAAATGTGATCACTATATGGATTTTAGACTAAATACTAGGTGGAAGGTAGGATGACTAAATTAGTCCTACTGGAGGTCAGCAGTTAGATAAAGTCTTTTTATGGTATCAAAGATTAGGACACTAGTATTTTACGTATTTCAAGAGTTCTAGATACTGACAAATAATCACGAACTACAAAAAACCATCTGCTTAGTTTGTTTTTATTTCACACTGAATTGATGGATGGGTATGAATGTCTGTTGTTGGACATATGTAGGAGCGCCAGACTAGCTACAATTGTGTTTCTGAAGTATAAACCCTTTCAAAAAATAAACAAGAAAGTTTTTTATAGTTTACATCGCGGACGGATCCTAGTTAGACGACCATTGCAAACATGTTTCGTTTTAACTTGAGATGAAAATCAAACAATCCACACAAATCTATTACTAGTAATAATAGTAATCATGTATTCATTAATGACTAACTTTGAGATGTGATCCCAGGAGTTCTAGTGAGAAGCTGTGAAGTGGATTACTACTATGCCGGGTATCCAACGCAGGTAATAGGTGGTCCCGGAAAGTCGCGAATTGGTTAACGTCAGACATATACCATTGGATACTGTCTTAGTAGTCTAGAGGGTAAGACCGGAGGGCCTGGATTCAATTCCCGGTGAAGTCGTGGATAAGTACAGCTGAGGAGTTTTATACTTACCAGCTGTCCAATGCTTCCTAGTTTTTAATGGTTGTCTAACTAGCATCAACCCGTGATGTAAACTATGAAAATTCAACAATCTTCATAAAGTTCCCTATACTGATGAAAAAGTACCAGTTCATACATCAAATTGATAGAATTCACATATGCTGTCTTTTATCAAATACTATTTTATATTGACCACATTAATATTCATCGTTGATATATGTGTTTCATAGGAACAACATAAAAGTTAGTAATTACAAAATAGATTTTTAAGTAGAATGCGATAACTATACACTGTTTTATAGTTTTTCAATCTATGATACTAAGTCATGAATAAATTCTTTTTAAAGTCATTTTGTCGGAAAGAAGAAAGCAAAATTTGAACACTGAATTACCTATAACAAAAATCTTCATGAATAGCTGGATTAAAACCAATCGTATTCGATTCAGCATTACCCTCTACTTTTGTTTGTATTGTATGATTTTTATGTAAAGAAATAGACGATGATGCAGCACGTGCAGCCATTGTTACTGGACTAATAAGTGGGATACGATCACGTTGTTGATTAGTGGTAAGTTGTGAAACGGCAGCAGCTAAAAGAGAAGTTACTGAGGGTGTTACAACTTCACATATTTTCACAGGAGGCGGTGATTTAGATTTACACCTGTTGTTTACAGTTAATACTTCTAGAGGAAGTGTTGATTCGTCAAGTTTTTTAGATTTTCTTTTCTCTATAATATGTAGATTCTGTAATGTATCATTTGCTACTTCTTCTTCGTATAATTTAAATGATGTTGGTAGACGTAACGTACTTATACAAGAATCAGCTCCACATAAACACAGACAACTAGCAGCCATTAGACCAGTTGAAAGAAACTGAGCATCAATATAATTAATTGTCAGTTCTTCATTAGCTTCAATCGGTCGACAGGCGAAAAGTCCTATAATTGACAAATGAAACAAAAGTAATAAAAAATGTCTTGAAAACAATATATATTTGGCAAACGGATGAAATCATTATGCGAATTTTTGGAGATTGTAGTATGTTAACAGTTGAATTCACGAGTCAATCTAAGCTAGACCACTTTTGAAAAACTGGAAGCAACGGACGGCCGTTTTGTCCCACGTGCGAGATCATGGGTGCGCACTGCTGAGTAGTCCCATACTAGAACGAAACGGCCGTCCAGTGCTTCCAGGTTTTCAACGGTGGTCTAGCTCGTGAATTTAACTGTCAAAACGGATAAAATTCAGTAACTAAGACATAACTTACCAAGTCGCGGATAACCATCAACCGTCCAACATTCAGCAATTAAATTTGGCTCACATGAATGATTGATAAATCTGCTCAGATTGCCTTTAGTTCCTGAGTCTAAAACCAAGTTTAAGTGTGAACTGAATCGTGCTAAATAGGTTTCAGAGAGTGGATGGAAACCTTTACGTGATGAAGTTATGCTAGACAATGCATTAGGACCAAGTGCTTCAATAATTCGACGGTTAGCTTCTGTAATATCTATTACTTCCCCTGAATATTCTATAACTAAATCACCCTGCAAAAGAAACAGAACAGTTAGTTTTAATAAATAATAAATTAAAAACAAAAATAAATGGAACATTTATTTTCTAGATAAATTATGAGTCAACCACATAATTATACAAGTACTTCATAATAATTAGAGAAAAACTCAATTACAAGGAGATTCGAAGAATAGTCATTGTAAAAAAGACTAACGATGCCCTGTTGCAGTCAGTTAATAGTTTATTACTTTCATCTTAAAAATTAAAATTTTTGTTTACGTCAGACATACCTTTTTACACCAGATGTCCTTCGCTATTGTCTTGGTCAATAAGGCTATTCTGCTGTTTGTTTGCTACTATTTAGAATGAAGTGAAAACAATGACTGAGCGTTTTAATGAGGCTTTTGTCGTCTCTTCAAATATTTTTTTAAATAAGAGGAATAGGAGGCAATGTATAGGTAAACATAGTTAAGATCGATGCGTATTTATAAGCTGGAAATTAATAATACAGAGTAGAACAAGTGTTATATTTACCATTATTCATAATCAAAATAAAAGAAGTTATGTAAGTTATGAAACTAATAAGTGACTGGGTAATCGCTCAATATGATAAAGTTATCCAACCACTTATCTATTTCATGACTATTACGTAACTTCTTTTATCTTAATTATGAGTAATGGTAACTATAACACCTGTTCTACTCTGGATTATTAATTTCCAGCTTATAAATACGCATAGATCTCAACTATGTTTACCTATACACCCATTAACTAACATATTACGATTGACCATTCTTAATTTATTTCCAATCTATTATTTACAGTCACTCTTGCTCATAGCCACTTTTGGTTTGGTCATGTAAGATGGTTACTTTTTATTTTGTCGTGTGATGAGCTCTGGTTTATTTGTACATAAATTACTTATGCTTGGAACATATTATTCATATAACGGAGGTTGATTATTATGTTCTGACTCAACGAGCAGAGCGAGGCGAGAAGTTACCATGTCGAAGACCAATAAGGACTTAAAATTGAATCAAGGCTACTGGTGCTGGTTGACTAAGGGGCAGGGTCACGGAGATCGACCATCATAGGGATGTACTCCTAATGTAGAAAGAATCGGGTGCACAGGGATAAGTTTATTTAGGATTTCCGATAAATGACGGCTAATTGCATAGCAGAAATATTTTAAAAAAATTAATCAGTTAGATAATGTTTCTATTATAATTCTCTCTTATTACAACCCAGCTGTTCCTAATGCTTAGTATTCTCGGACACCGATTCACTCGACAAGTCCCCGAATCAGAACACAGTTGAACAGGAAAGAGATTATATTACAAATAACAAGGTTAGATGAAAGTAAGAAGCACAGTAGGAAAAACGTCAGCTTTTTACATGAGATCCTATAGTGTTATCGAAGTATCGGTTAGCGCTGATTTGATAAGAATTAGCCAATCAGTGTACGCCAAAGCAATCGTGTATTGAGCATACTTTAATCCAATCTATGTCCCGCTAACAGTTTCACCTGATCATTTGGCACCCTTAACAGATTTATTTCCCAATTAGTCAAAAATTCAGGGGTTGGTTTCGCAGTAGGTGGCAGAGACCAAGTATGACAATAACAATCAACTATTATAATCATTATACCGAAATAATTAAAACGTACTCAACCTGTTGTACCAATTAATCCATAAAACTCTGTCTTGTAAGCAAATATGTTATCATTTACATTTGTACTCACTTGCTGAAATGAAGTTAAGGTTTTCAAACCATATCCTCGGTTAATAGTTCGTACAACATTATATAAATACTTATCATCTTGTTTTGTAGTGGTAGTATTAGTAGTATAAGCAGCGTTTGAAAGTAAACTAAACCGTCGATTACCACAATCTGTTTCAAGAAATGAACAAATTTGTGGTTTACATTCAACTCTAGACAAGAAATGATGACATGAATTATTGGTTGAACATAAATTAGAGCCGGTGATCGTTTCACTGTTTATAACAGTAGACGATTTACAAGAGCATACAGTAAGAGATTCATATGACTTTTTTATGTTATCAATCTGCAAATACAACAATAAAAACACGAACAAAACGATAAGGTGGAATCAATAAAAAACGATTGAACATGGAATATAATTTGTAATACATGTAAACGGATTTAAACGAGAATATATAAACATAGATATTACTTCAATACACACCAAGTGAATGTTTCACTAAGTCAAAATTTGATCCATTCAAGACTGAATATATTTCGCGAAATCATAGATGCCTGATTATATTTGTAAAAGGCTAGGCATGGTAATTTTAGGATTTCTTCACAACAACATAAATTAAGTGTAGCGTAATACTTAATACAAGGTAACAATTGCGAATGAGTGAAATTGCATTACGAAGGATGTGTTTGATTGTACAAAAAAAAGATACGGATAAAACACCAAATCAAATGAAAAAGTAACTTTAAAACCTATAATCTTATGGATCATAAATAAGTTTAGACTTAGATACAGCTGATAAGTGGACAATTCATCCGCCCAACGAAGACTGGAGTTCAGTGATTCCTCACAAAATACAGGAAATATTAGGGAAACGAAGTCCTGTAGATCATGAGAACGTATGGAAAAGACTATATATATATATATATATATATATATATATATATATATATATATATATATATATATATATATATATATATATATATATATATATATATATATATATATATATATATATATATGGCGATGCGATTTTTACCTCGTACATTCAAAATAATGGTTTAAGACTGATTTGAGTCAACTACTGGATTAATGATATCGAACGATGTTATTTGGGTACGTCGATCAATACATTTATCTCGGGAGTCATATCAACCTTTGTCAGTGAGTGTTTCGTGAGATATCGGCACGGATTCACAAGCTTCAGTTGGCTTCTCCCAACTTACATCACTTATGGAGTAGGCGACATGATCACCTGTTAACCAAAGGGTAATTTTACTGCACAGCAGTCTGTCCTTCTCCACTCTATGAATATGAAGCACGCTCATTAAAAAAACCGGGAGACATTCGTAGGTTACTGTTATTCAACCATAGAAGTCTTAAAACTACTGCTCGTGTATCTTGGGAACACCGAGTAAGCAATGTCTGGGTTGGGGATAGGGTACTAGGTAAGGATGGCGTGTCAGTTGGTGAGGTAGAAAATCCTCATGAGCCGAGGTGGTTGAGACATATGTTACGTGTGCCCAACGACCGCCTATCAAGGTAGGAGATATCTGGTGTGCAAGTAGGCTGGAAGAAAGTTAGGGACGGCCAAACAAAAATATGGCATCAGTCCATGAAGTCATTGACAATTGGACTGAGCCTTCTACGTAGACGTAGATTACCTGGTCGGGGTCAGCGAATTGTAACAAATGATTAGACTTTGGGTGGCATTTCCGCTCCTTTTTTCCCCACCCCATTCTGTTCTATTACTACTGACACTTTTACTACTTCTACTACTACAGGATTCATCTTGATATTTCTATTTCAGTGCTAATGTGGTGTAGTGGCTTAAACTAACGTATGTAGGATTTTAGTCAAAAATATTTACTCGCTTTTATTTGAAGTAGGCCTAAACCTATCGAAAATATCCAAACCCTGAGAGCTATACATTTTTTCCTCTTTTTAGAATACTAAATATTGAATAATAAGTGTACTATCAGTAAGCAATTTTATTTTATAGGGAAAATGACACCGGGATAGATAAAAAGAAAATTCACTTACTGAATATTCGTCCGTATAAATATTGGCTTCAATGAAAGAGAAACTTTCAAGTACACTAGATAATTGGTGATCTTGCATATTAGGATCAATTATTGTATTTACGTTTAATGCATTTAACGATAATAATTCGTTCTCTGGTAGTTGTTCAGCGTGCATTGAAATCAGTGGTAGGCCTTGTTTTAATACATGATTGACATATAAAGCATGAGCTTTAGGAGCTCGATGTAATGCTATTAATTCAGTTATGAAACACAAAAAAAAGAATAAATATTTGCAACCAGAATACGTACTTCATGAAATGATTTTATATTACACAATATTAAGAAAAACACTTAATAGATCACCGTCTGTTGAGTAAAAGGCATATTTCATTAGTACTAACACGTCGAGCTCACCAACCCCCAAATGTCCTGGTACGGCCGAGAGTGGGGAGAGTTCGCTCTCCCTCTCGAAATGCTCTCACATAGCCACGCGTATATAGCCTCTGCCAGGGAAGTCCTACTCACTACCTTCTCGTGGCGGAGATGTTGTTTACGAAAATGAGAGTATGAAAAGCGAATGTCCAGCGCTTTAATCGGATTCAAAACCAAAGGTGAACATGGGTTCCAGTATCCTGCGAGAACAAATGGTGTATGAACCAATTGTTGGTCACCGGTTTCCATGGGACTGCATCTCCTCACGATGCTCCACTGCCTTGTGGATCAGACCTTCAGGTCGAAGTCTCCGGGTGTGGCCCTCTAAGAAAACCACCTGTTCCGGTTTGGGCACCCGGGCAGTATCACAGCCCTCTCACAAATCAAATGGGATTTGTGTGGCTCATATGTATTTGATGCCTCCTTGTACCAATATCTATATGTTAAAATAGAAATAAAATAAAGTACTAACAGTACTGGTTTTTTTTGAAACCCTGTCAATAGTTATAACTTAAACCATAAGTAAATTAAGGATGGGTTACATAGAAGTAGGGATGTATGAAACTGAACTGTCTGTATCATTCATATCTTATTGAGGGGAGAATTGAAAAAATTATATTAATACTGGAATTTTTTAAATAAATTTCAGATAATATAACTTAAAGTTGATTCATTGTTGGAGTCCGTGCAATTATTGTAGCCAGTGGTTGAAGATGTTGAGTGATCTGAATAAAACAAGTCACAATAGTGCAAATCCATCCACTGTCTTTTCTTTAGATTCTAGGTTTGAAAATTATCTTAATTTTTTATTTCATGAATTTATTATTTCGACTTGACTCATCTCATCTATACCTAATCTGTTCTACTACCGCTCTGGTATTTGCCTTGATAATTACATTTCGTTGTGCAAATGTGGTATGACATCTTAAAGTGACGCTGCACAAGATTGACTGAATGAATTTAGTATTACAAGTTTTTCTATGCTTTATTTTTGAAATTCTATAACTGTTTTATTTGTATCTCTATCTGCAATTATTTCCATTAAGTATAATCTATTTTCTTAATTGTCGGTGCTATCTTTAAAAAAACTATTGAACGAATGCACTTTAAATAAAATGATAGATTGTTTTATCTGCATATACATGAGATAGCGTATATATAGCAGAAAACAATTTTTGGAGTCCAAGTTTACCAGTTTTGTATAATCTGAATTGGATGTTTTAACTGTAAAGTTTCCAACCTTCTATACACCCTAAGAAAACTAATTAGGACAAAATTTGCTGATGGAATTGTATATAGAGACAATAAAAAATCAATTGTTAAACAATAAACCGTATAGTGGAATATAACATTACTTAGTGAATTGTTTCGTAGGAACTGCAAAAAATGTTAAGCTAAAACAGGTTCTTTTTATTGTTACGGTATTATGCTATAAAGTGACTATTTGTTTCATATCAACGCTTGAGCATTTGGACTACCTGTTCTTGCCATCTAGATATTTCAACAAGTTATCTATTTTTGTTTGTTTTAATGTATCGTTATGTCTATTAATCGCATAACCTATTCTGCTGCGTTTCTGAAAAGTGCACAACTTTTCGTTGTCAAAGTTACAAAAAACTCAATAAGAGACAATGTAGTTGCTGGCAATATACAACGAAAAGAATGCACATTATTCAGATGTTCATTTACTGGACTGTTAACATCTAACTGACGATCACTCAATATTTATCGCCAGGACCGACCAAGAAGAAAGAAACGGAAACTTGTTAAAATACTTTACGCTGAAAATTCTATATTGTACCAAAAATGTAATATTGAATAAAGCTAATAATAATAATAATAATAATAATAATAATAATAATAATAATAATAATAATAATAATAATAATAATAATGTACAAAATATATCTAAGGCGAAGATGTCAGTTATTTCCATGATAATTTTACTGCTAGGATAACAATCTAGTAATATTTGATTATTATTACAGCAAGGTAGTTTATATGTTGAGTGGGATGAAAGGAAATTATGTTCAACTTATTTGAAATCTTTGAAAATATCACTTGTCATTTTGATACGTTTGGCCTACCTAGTAAATGAATCTGTTATTGATTGCTGAACTATTATAAAACTTTAATTAATTAATTTGTGAATCTTCAATGACTGAGATGGTTAGGACATGTGTTACATGAGTCTAAGTTGAGAGACAAGCTTTAAATAATGGAAATATATGTTTAAAATAATAATAATAACATGACGACTATAGATTGATGAAGTCGATGTCACTTTATTTACAGTAATAATTGTATGCATGATAAAAATTACAATCTAATGGAATGTACAATATAACAATCAACGAAACCTCACAAACACATATAAGTCAACTGATTTATAATATGTACTTATCTGTTGTAATTTACAACACACTAAATGATGTTTGATTAATCAAGAAACTGCAAATAATTTAAGACAAATTGAATTCTTCTTTCATACAATTGACTAAAATGTTAGTTTTAAGAAAACCAGCAACGAAATAATTTTATTCAACTGTACAAAAAAAAGAATAATATCTTTCATCACAACAACACTAAGATATGGTGATCCTGTATAATAATCATTATAAATTTTAGTAAAATGTATACATATATTTGCATAGAATACAGTAAAACATTGTTTTGGTAAATAAACAGTGAATATAACTGTACAATGTTAGAAAGGAGAAAATCAAGTACAAGATCATGAATATAATACTGAATAATGACAAAATAAAGATTTATATTTTTCAACTTACATCGTGAAAATGCCTTTTCAATTTTATTCGATCCACTTGTATCTTTTGCAGAACTTGTTTGTAAACCAATTTCATAAGGAAACACACGATTACGACTAATCCATTGATATTCTTCGGAACCAAGAAAATGTACAGGAAATGAACCTTCTGGATGAGCCATATTTAATATATTTATAGGGGCATTACGAGCATGAATTATTTCACATGGCCACCAACGAAATCCAGGTATTTTCGCCCAAATAATTTGAGCATATCTTGGAAAGACACCACGTCTAAAAAAGAAATGAATACAAATCAGACAAACATAGGAAAGATAATAGAGAAAATAATTTTGTTGAGCGGAAAAAAGTAACAAATTTGTCATTCATATGTCATTTGGATGTATTCTCAACATGGAATAAGTGTGATGTCAGTCAGCTACAACATAGGACCAGGCACATATATGCATCGGTCCAGGTTGCCATACCTCATTAGCACAGCAAGATGAACACCGGATTCATAGGAGTGGTTAGGTTAAAGGTGGTAATATATAGGAGAAAGATTGCATATATATATATATATACAGTACCGAAATATAGAATTAGTTCGTAGAAAGAAAGATATGAAGCGATTTTAATCTCTTAGTTTAAGGGAAGACAGGGAGTGTATGCACCGACGCCATTGTGATTGATTCTGAGCCATGTCACCAAGAGTCTCCAACCATTGGTTACGATAGTCACGCGGACCCCAACCAAGTAGTCTGCATCTACCAACATGGCTCAGGCTAGAGGTTAGTGACTTCAAGCACTGATGCCACGTTTTGGTTTGGCCGCCCCTAATTCTCTTCCAACCATCTCTAACACCTGTTAGCATTGCACGACGTGGTAATCGGTGTTCAGGCATACGTAACACGTGGCCCAACCATCTCAGTCGATGAAGATTAACAACCTCATCAACTGATTTACCATCATTACCTAATACCCTGAGTCTAACCTCACTATTACTTACCCGGTTATCCCAGCAGATGCCAGCAATATTTCTAAGGCATCTGTGGTCAAATACTAATAGCTTCCGAGTGTCTTCTACTCTTAAAGGCCATGTTTCGCTACCGTAAAGTAAAACAGAACGGACTGCCGCGCAGTATACTCGTCCTTTTATTGATAGACGGATATCTCGCCTTCGCCAAAGGTGACGTAAGTTGGCAAAAGCCAAACGAGCTTTTCGAATCCGTGCTGAGATTTCGTCCGATACCAACCCATTAGGGCTGATCAGACTTGGTATGTGATTGGAAATGTTTAAAATGATCAATTAAGTTTAAGGTCATTGAAATTCACTTATAATACATAAAAACATTTAGTATAAATAATATGGGGCCAAACAATCAATTGATAAAAAGCTATTGTAGAGGCATAAAAGAGAAAGAATTAAACAAACAAACAGCACATTAAAAAACTATTATGAATAATGTGTACTAATCAATACAATTAGACTGCAAACTCAATCAAGGTAAGAGTTCATTCAGTTAGAAGAGGCATTATACTGTTTACTTACACCTGCAAACTTCTCGACTATTTTAAACGACTTACTATTAAGGGATAGGTGCTAGCAAAGATTCCTATCGGTTTTTGGAAAATTTTATACGTTATTATGAAGCAAAGTACATGACCTATACAACTACCACCACAGGGTTTTTATCTCAAAAGTTTACAGAATATTACCGATGTCGAAAATAGGTAGGAAAGGTGAAATTGATGTAAACCCACCCAAACATGATCGCTGATTTGGACCAACAGAGAGAGAGAGAATGACGCATGGCTGTATGCTCTCACTATCCCTTGAGATGTCTTTTGCATGGATTGTGATTACATTTATTAAGTAGAGATTAACGATGGACCTTTAGCTACTTCAATATTACTCAAGTGAAGTTGAATTCAAAATAATGATGCTTTAACTGAAAAATGATTGTGCAAAGAATGAGCCACAGACAATGTTTAAGTGACTTCACGTTTTCGGTTCTAAAAGTTTAGAAAAACCACATGGACTTCCTTTTAAAAATTGGGCGATATCCCATAACTTATCCCATAATCATAGCTACTTTCTGCAACGTTCGTTTCCTTTATCACCCTTACTAGATCCAAAATAGGGTTATGAATTAGTGTGACGAATTAAAATTAGAAGCTAAGGTCACGATTTTTATTATGTAACGCCATTAACTATAAGGCCAGAATCCTAATCAGCTATATGGATGAATAAAGTTTGCGCGAAAGTTCTAGAGGGGCTAGTGTAACTAATATTGGTTCGTTCACAAATTATAGTCCTGCAGTGAACCATACAATATTAACCTTCAAGTACGTCTTAATAATGATGGTCATGACCAAGGGATATATGAAAAGAAGGGGCAAACTCACCGACAAGATCGACAAATGAATTTATCGTCAGTTAGGATACCGAGTGAAGGTTCAAAGCAATCTTTGTGATAAGTGGTTGGACAGAGTTGACATTCAATCTATGAAAAGGAATGAAAAAAACGTCTTTTTACTTAAAAATAAATAAAAAACGTTACCGATACAATTTATGTGCACTGACATGCTGTTACTGATGAAACTAGCAAATACAGCAATATCTATGTTTATTTCCCATACACTTCAACAGGGTCCATTAGATGGAAATCAACAACATGTAATGAATGACAACCAGTGACTCCGTCGTATCACACAAGCTAAATTATATCAAGCATATGGTATAGTGACGAGTTTCAAAGGAGTAGGCTAAACTAAACAAAAAAAGTACGCAGTGGCAAGTATAAATAAAACTTACACGTTCAGGAGCATGTTTAAAGCAATGGAAACACCAATTAGGATGCTGGGTTTTAAAATTCGACAAAGTTAATAGAGATTCATCAAAGTGTCTAGGGCATACAATATGAGAAAGTGAAACTTCAACCGATCCCGCTGGTGTACATAGATCACCTGTGTGGAATACAGCTGGACATCTAAAACATTACAGTAAATTAATATGATAAAAAAATGCTATACATCAGATAAAAATATTTGTTATGGAATTCAGTGAAACTGTTCATTATAGTGAGAACCATGAACATTTAATATTATTTGATGTAGTATTACAAGTAAATAAAGATTATAACTTTCTGTAGTGGAAATTGTAGTTCAGTGAAAAATTCAGAAATTCTAAAATATTGATTATAATAAACTTAATTTTTAATGAGTTCTAATTGAATCTTTAGGAAACAGAAATGTTCCCCAACAAAAACTCAATCAGTCAGTTTTATAAAATGTGAGATTGTTATGTACACGAAGTTAATCAAGAATCCTTAAGGTCATATGATAGCATTCAGAAGAGAAACTGAAGAAAGCCCAAGAGAGGAGTAAAAATTAGAACAATGGTGCGGACAATCTATTCAAGACTATGAACAGAGTAAAGTTCGAAATAAGTTATCTAGAATACGCATATCTGGATGCAGAAATTCACCGAAAATGAACTGATAATATTTCATACATGTTAAAATGAAGTGATATTTTAGTGGCTGAAGCATTTTCATACATTAACAGAATTAAGAAGTGGTACAACTAAGAGGACATCGTTTTTTTAAGCCTGTAGAATATTTTGTATCCACCTTATAAAATTTTATGTTCAAAATATCTACAATAAATCGTTAATTAGATCAAATAGTACTTACTACAAGTGATATTGTTTGAAAGGATATGGTAAAATACTTAGTCATATACCTGTGAGATGTACCTTGATTCATAATACGGATTTATTGTGTTCCAATAACTAATAACGGTAACGTTTCTTATGATAAATATGAGACCAAATCATTATTATCAATGTGAGCAATTATATGAATCAAGTAAATCAAAAGTTATACTTAAAATTTTGTAGAGCGATGGATTATAGGTTAATGGACTCGGGTTTAACCAGGTTACAGGTTTGAACTTTAGTTTACTTTGCTTTGGGCAACCGAATATTGCACTACCCCTCATACATACACCTGTATTTGGTCAGTCAGTTAGTGTCACGAAGTCCTAGCAAATGAAGTCTATTGTCTGATTTGTTACAAAGTTTGGTTATTGAAAACACTAACATGTAATTGAGAGTTTAGTTTTGTAAGACCAGGAATAACATTTCGTTAAATAGAACTGTAATTATTGGTTTTTCGCGGCGAAAAAGGTGAAGCCAGAGGAAAAGAGTTGATAATAGGAGTAGAGGAGATACTAGGAAGCGAAGAATAAATTTGATCATGAACAGTGAGATCTCTAGTGCTGCTAGAGAAGTATGAACAGCCGTCGTTTTCATTTACCCATACCAAGAGTATTTCTTCTTGAGGTATCTGAAAAGAAACTGGATTAATAGTGGTTTTGATGACATAGGGATCGTGATTGTAAAGTCTAGGGGACAACAGCTTAAGGTCAGTCACATACGGCCTTTTGGTGAGTAGTTTCGACGTATGAAGTCTGCAATTTTTATGCCTTGCCGCTGGCACCAGAGGTTCATGAGCCAAAATAAAGTGTGAAAAATTTAGTTTATCTTTTCTAAAACCTTCTGTTATTACTGCATCTTTTACATATATGAGAAATTGTGTACACTGCATATAATGAAAACGTAAAAATTACCGAACACATTCCAAAAATGGACCTTCACTAGAAGTTGGCTTTTTTACTGGGTGACAATTCGTTTCATTGGATTCCAAGTAGCATGTGTTGCAAGTATGAGCAGGGCAACGAAGAATTTGAAAGGTTGCAGTCCGAGTGGCTACATTATCCGACGGTCTTGTGAGAATACCAGGCCATCCAGACAGACAATCTCGATGGAAATGCCTACTACAATTTATAACCTGAAGAAAATAAAAGTAATGCATAGAATATAAGCTGAGTGTAATCACACGATATCACTAGTTATCTACTGCAATAACTCAAGTAACTAATTAATACAGCGTGGTAAATGAGGTACTTATTGTAGGGTTGGAGTGAATCAGAGTGCTCAGGAGAACTAATTAGGTAAATTAGTAAATCTAGCTTTGTTAACATTTAATTCAATTCTGTACGTATTTCATGTACTTTCTGTGAAGGATTTAATCAAAAGAAATTAAATTGAAAAATACATTTAGTTGTAAAACATAGGCCCATTTTCCGCTATTTATTGTTTCGTTTATTTATCATCTGCTTGATGTGATAGTTGTTATACTGCTCTGAACAATAATGCTTTATATAATCTCAATAAAGAACACAATGATTTGGTTACAAATAGAAAGTCTTTAGTTTTTATGGGAATTTCGTTGATTTCAGAGTATGAATTACTACACATGCAATTCCAACTCTTCAGACTTAATTAAAATGTACTTGTAATTTCTTTGTCATTTATTTTTCCTAAACGTTTAGCTCACGCTGAAATCAGAGAACTTATTTATCTATGACTGCGACTAAACTTCAAGTCTGAGATGAAAAACATATCAATACACAAAAGAGTGGTGTTGTATGTGAAACTATACTTGAAAAACCTTTGTGAAACTAACACCGAAACGGAATTTATTAAATATTATCCACAGTGAGCTGCGTTGCAAGTAGTTTTTTTCATAAACTTACCAACTATTATCAAGAAAAACGTCAAAACAACAACCAGTGTCGATATTTAATGGAGCTGGATAACCTAGTCTTAAGCAGATCCAAAAACTAAAGGTTGTTAACTTTCTGGCAAGGTCATGACTATTGACCCGTTCTTTACCGAATTTTAAACTCGTCTTACTTTGACCAATACGTTCTACGTTGTAGACTTTTTTAGTCTATTACTTTTAGCGGTTACATTTCCTGCTTAGTTTGCTTATGAGTTAGTGTATTATATTGCCAATCAGTTCTTATGGTTATTGTAAATATACTTGTAAACAACAGGTGACAACATGCCGTTTCCACAGCTGTTTGTATATCTTTCCAAGCAACACTTGGGTCGACCTCGTTTTTAGAATTGCCTAAGTGTGACCTCAGTTGTTCCTGGAATCTACTTTTGGCTTTCTCGTCACTCAGTTAAGTTCTAATGGGTCTTTTTAATGTGACTTCCCTGCGTCTAGTGAGGCGCGGGCAAATGCGTGCTCGTATTAGAGAATCATCAGAGAATAAACATGTGATCTATAACAAGCGGCAGTCTTCTACGGAGCCTTTCCAATGATGATTAATGGCAATATGGTCTATTTGAGTCCATCGTTGGTTTGGTGCAGGGGATCGCCATGTTAGACGATGTCTCTCCTTATGTCTAAAATTAGTACTTGCTGAAAATAAACGATTGTCTGAGCACAGTTGCAGCAGACGATCACGATTAATTGTTCGCTGAACCGGGATACTAAAATACCCACCTAAATGTTTTTCTGTTTGGTTTAAGCTATCTACCTAGGCATTAAAGTCACATGCTAGGAGTCAGTATAGCCCGATTGGTTCATCACGGTAGGCAAGCCCGACCACCACGTCAAGGTAGTAGTAACGGTCGGGAGGGGGCTCGTCCGAGATTTACATTCGAACGACGATGTCTATATATTGCCTGTGTTTATAGACATGCAAAATGACTTAGTAGAGAACAAAATTGACTATTACGCCTATGTAAAGTAATTTTAGTACGCTTTGGTTGACTGTTCTAGCATACTAAATTAATGTGAAAATAAAAAAAATAGTGGTTTTTCATGAGTAGGGTGCGGTGTAAAGTGAAAATAGTACGAGTAATTACCTGACACGCGTATAACTGACCAGCACCATCTTTGGATCCTGTTTCGCTTGGTTTACCACATATCGAACAGAGGAACTCGCCAATAAGACATTGTGGACAACGAAATTTTTCAGGGCGACTATTATCTAGTAAATATAGAAGGTAATACATAAAGCACTGACAAATGGGGTCAATTAAGGACATAGAGATAAAAAATTTAGGGAAAATAATGAACGAGTAGATACAGCCACAAGTACCATATTGAGTAAACACCTCTGACTTAAAAAGATTGCTAGGAATGATAGTCAAGCAGACTAAGACAACTTAAGATTTAATTAAGTCATCGTACCACACATGATTAAAGTTAGGGGTAATCAAGGAGAGGAAAGCTAAGGAGAATAAATGAAGACGAGTGTCTAAGGATAATTAATGTTCACAAGGAGGATAGTTAATGAATCTCCGATACTGAGATAGGATATGGGCTAAAAATCTATTTCATTTGTTTTGTGAACGCGAAATAAGGATTCTACACCCTGATAAACTACGTGGATTTATTTAGGGACTCCACAGATTAACACCACATATGGAACTGATCACTATTATTAATTTTTTGATCCTAATTCTGCCCCAAATAAAATAGCACACCAGGGCATGGAGAGTGAACAACAGTTTCTACGGGTTTAAGACTTTGCGGAATGATTTAATTTCTTTATCCGCTCACAGGTGTTTAACACTAACATTCCCCGTCTAGTGGTGTCAATATACACAAAAGACAAAGTACGTGGGAAGGATCAAAACCCATTATTCAACGGTTAAAAGGTGTGTTTAGACACAACACCAACCAAATCAACTTTCTACAGTTTCTGTTTTATGGTGACACCATCTAAATTAATTTACAACTAGAATAAAAGCTTTCTTTAGAATAAAATGTTCTAGTGGTTGCTGGTTTTCAATAGTTATCTAGATAAAGTCAGTTCGTGATGTAGACAATTTCCAAAAACAGATCTTTTTTGTCGAGCTAGTAGAATAGTGATGGCAATAAAATATTAAATGAAAAGTAAACAATAATAAAAAATAGATACACTGTTTATAATACCTGCTGGTGGTGGAGTTTTATATCGCATACAGTGAGGATGGACAATTCGACCACATGGACCTTGACATTGAAACATTTGACCAGGAGCATTAGAATAAACCTCACACACAGGACATACCGGTTGTAAACGATACTGGGCTGGCGATACTATAAGACGATGAATTTCAATGTCGAATTCTTGAGTTTCCGGTTGCTGTTTTTTTGACCCAGATTTCTAATGTTAATTTGGAACACAAAGACAATAACGTAAACGTCATTCGTGAAAAACCACAAAAATGATTTGAGTGCATCAACTAATTACACCGTTTGGTTTATAGCTTACTAGTCATCAGGTTTATTACACACATCATTTTTAAGACTAGCTTTTTTGGGACATAAACATTTACTAATCTATCTAAAGCCAAATATATAAATATTCTGCAAAATCAAACCACATTAAGTGAATCGAACAATAAGTCCTACGATATTGAGTCAAAAAATATATATTTAATGATTATGGGTAAATAACTATACACTAAAAACCGATGTGACAGATATGAAGCTATGCAGTCCCATTTTTCGATTTGAATCTGAACTATTAGATAAACCAATCACTAATGTAAATCTTTTATAGAGGAATAATAATACAACTGGTTGAAGATTTGAATAAATACAAAGTGATCAAGGAACTAATAATCATCACAATAATAATAATAATCTAAACAGTTTACTCCATCAAAACAGATAAGGCTCTGTTAAACCAGAACGTTATTAACACGATGGTACCATTACTTATGCTTTTTGGTTACGGTAGAGTGGAAACATTTGTGCCAGGTTCCACGTTATATGTGACTGACACGATGCTACTTTATTTTAATTATTTTTATTTACGATATAATTTTGGTATGGAACGGGACCAGCAAGAACGCAACCCGCAAATAGAGTGATTATATTAGAAAAAAAGAAAGGGTCGTATAACCTATGAACAAATGAACAAGAATAGTACTTAATGAAAGATACAATCCAATTTAAAACACATTTAATAAAATTTTCCCGTTAAGAGGGTTAGTCCTTTCCTTACAAAGAACGTAAAAGAAAACTACAAGACAATCAAGGTGATCTTGCGTGCTACCAGAGCTGTCATATGTGTCTTCGAAGTATTGTATTTCATGGGATGACCGAGTGAGTAATGTTGAGGTTGGGCATAGAGTATTTGGTAAATACGGTAACTCGATTACTGACGTAGTGACACTTCACCGACTAAGGTGATTACGAAATGTGTTACATATGCCTGACTACCGCCTATCTCGGCGCGCGATGATGGCTAGTGCAGTAGGTTGGAAGAAAGCTAGGAGTAGTCAAACCAAAATGTGGCATCACTCCATGAAATTATTGGCTATTGGTCTGAGCCATGTAGGTAAGTACAGAGTAACTGACTGCGATGATTGGTTGGAAACTGGGTGATGTGACTGAAAACTGGTCACAATAGAGCATGTGTATTCACGTTTTGTCTTTTCATAAATCTGTAGTTACAGAACCCGTTCATATATAACCTTTCAGTCTGTTTTGTAAAGTTATCTCACAGATTGGTTTTGCTTTTTATCATTGCAGCTACATTACTTCGATCTCTTTCGTTATTTTCATCTCGTCAGGATAATCACGGTATCGCAAAATGGACCAACTCAAATCTTTGGTAGGGTCCAAGTTAATGATGTATGTCTGTCTCACAAAACGATCGGTGATGGATTCAATTTTGAACCTTTTCGGGTAGAAACTTAATTCACTGAGTTAGACAATTTTTCAGATTCAAGTTGGCAGTTATATACAGTTGTTTTCCATATCAAGTTCCCATGTCATGAACTTACCACTGCCTATTTTACCATCCAGTTTTAATTTGTATTTTACTGCTATTAGATTGATTTCATATGCTATTGCACCAAATCGCTCAAACAATTACCCAGAAACACAACCTTTTCCACTACTTTTAACGGTTAACCACAAAGAGTGAGTAGAGGTGTTGAATCCTGAGATGGATTTTCGAAGTGTAAAGTAAATGGTGAATTTGTGAACCCTGATTACCGACTGACACGATAATATGCTGAAAATTCTAACAAATTCCAGGTCACAATACACAATGAAAATAGAGATGGAAAGTAGACGGTAGTATCTAAGCTCAATGCGTCTAGTTCTCTAATAAAAAGAATTATACATAAGGCTTTAATAATTAACATCTTAACAGAAAAATGTTCTAATTACAATAACTGGATCTGGAAAGAAATAAAGCAAATGAAGGAAAATTTAGAAGTGCTTAATTAGGCATTGATGACCACGCATTATCAGAGTAAAAAAGTGTAGCAGAAAGGCGAATAAACAGAATTTAAATGTTAGTAGTAAACTTACTTTGCTTGACTTAGGAGTTCGATCTGTAGATTTTGTTCCAGATTCATTGACTTTGGTGACTGTAGCTTCTTTGCACTTACGACTTTTTTCTAATCGCTGAAAAGAAAGTTCGAAAATTCTAGCATATCTTATAGGCAAGTATTATGACTAGAAAATTGACTTTATTGGATGATCAAATGATTGAGATGGTAAAGAATAACAAGTTACTTAAAAAACTGATCCCCAAATCCCAACCGAATAGATTTCAGAAGCAGAACCAAGAACTAAACTGAATATACGTTAGCAAATTGAGCAACTTGAGGAGATACAATCCCATGGTAGCCGGTGAACAACGATAGGTTCATACGCCACTTTTTCCTTCAGGATACTAGAGCGCATGTGCACCATTGGTTTGGATTCAGTGTTTTCCAACTCCTCTAAGTCGATCTCCCATATCCACTAACCCGGTTAAGGCGCCGGACATTATTTTGAGCGAGATCATACACTAGTTTGCTGAATACAACTGAATATTATAGTGTTGGTGTTAAAAACTATTGGGACAATTAGTCACAACGTACAACCTTGTACGTATATACATCGTTTCAAGTTGCACTACTGCATTAACACACTGTCAGAACGAATCCAAGAATAAGAAAGATAGTAACAGTATTATTGGTAATAAAAAGAATAGGCATCGAAGACACGATCCGAGAAAATAAAAACTAGTGGGATAAAAACAAAAAAACGTCAAGAGGGATTTAGAAGCTCAGAATTCAAGAGAACACAGAGAATGGATGCAACAGAACAATTGCAAACATTTTTGAGCCATTTCATTCAAAGTCCTTAACCATTGGCTGTGATGACCACGCGGACCCCAAACAGGTAGTGTACCTCAACGACTTCATGGACTGATGCTATATTTTTGTTTGGTCGTCCCTAACTTTCTTCCAGCCTACTTGCACACCAGATATCTCCTACCTTGATAGGCGGTCGTTGGGCATGCGTAACACATGTCTCAACCACCTCGGCTCATGAGGATTTTCTACCTCACCAACTGACACGCCATCCTTACCTAGTACCCTATCCCCAACCCAGACATTGCTTACTCGGTGTTCCCAAGATACACGAGCAGTAGTTTGAAGACTTCTATGGTTGAATAACAGTAACCTACGAATGTCTTCCCGTTTTTTTTAATGAGCGTGCTTCATATTCATAGAGTGGAGAAGGACAGACTGCTGTGCAGTAAAATTACCCTTTGGTTAACAGGTGATCATGTCGCCTACTCCATAAGTGATGTAAGTTGGGAGAAGCCAACTGAAGCTTGTGAATCCGTGCTGATATCTCACGAAACACTCACTGACAAAGGTTGATATGACTCCCGAGATAAGTGTAGTGATTGACACACCCAACTTTTATTTATTTATTTATATATTTGAACACATAAATATTGGTACAAGAGTGCGCCAATATATATGCGCCACACAAAACAATGAAAATTCGAAGAGAGATAGAAAAAAAAACTAAGGAGCGCAAAAGAAAAAGAGAACAATAACGAAGGGATTGGTGTAAGGTATTGTGGTAGTAACGAGGGAACGGAAAGGTACAATCAGAAGAAATCTCTCAGTTAAGGAAGACAACCACTTTTTATGAAGAAAGTAAAAGAAGGTTACAGCAGGATCGCCACTGGCTTCTATTCTGAGCCATATCTGATAACGTCTCTAGCCACTGTGTTGGACCATCTCTAGCACCCCAACCAGGGAGTCGTGAAGGACCAACACAAGCCAGTCCTTTGCAGCTTTCTTTCATACCACGACACCATGTCATGCACTGACCACCTCTCCGCTTTTTCCAACCAGTCCCAGAGTCGGCAAATAATGCACGACGTGGAATTCTCTGGGACGACATTCGTAGAACATGTCCAAGCCACCAAAGTCGGTGTTTCAAGATGGTGACACCAATTGAATTATCATCTCTGTGCCCGAACACACGATGCCGAACCTCTGCATTACTGACATGGTGTTGCCACTGAATGTCAGCAATCCTTCGGAGACGGCGATGATCGAACACAGAGAGTCGTCTAACGTCCTCAACTCGGAGAGACCAGGTTTCACAAGCATAGAGCAAAACTGCTCTCACCGACGCGTTGTAGATTCGGCCTTTTACAGCCAGACTAACATCACGAAGGCTCCAAAGATGGCCCAGATTGGCATAAGCCGCTCTGGCTTTCACTATATGTGCATTGATCTCATCACTCACACCCCCACCAGCACTTATGCAGCTACCTAGATACACGAACTTCTCGACTACGTCTATCTGAGTACAGGATTGGAATCCTGCCAGTCTTGTAGAAGTACTTTGCGCTTCGAAGGTGCAAAGCACACACCCAACTACTTTACTCTCTATTATTAATTCAGACACTGACGCAACCCAATCTTGAGGCCACATAATGTATTTGGATGGAGAGAACCGCGCCCCAAATATGCCAGAATTATTAAGTTGGTTAGATTGGAATTCGTCGGCATCATCAACCGGAACTATATCATTTGAGTATTCCAAGTCAACAAGTGAGTCGCCTGGTAGGTCAATCTTTGAAAAGTCAGATGATGAAAATGTTACCTCCTCAACCATGCCTATGACAAAGTTTAATAAAAATGGGGGGGCGGACAACCTTGACATCAATCAGTCAGCTACAACGTAGGACCAGGCACATATATGCATCTGTTCAAGTTGCCATACCTTGCCAAAACTTGACGAACATCATTCCAGTGACAGTTCTCCATAAGCTCTGAATCGACCAGTTTTTAAGTAGAGCTTGTGTGGAAAGTTAACGTGCTTGTTTGAGAAGCTTTTCAGTGGCAGATACTGCCACAGAACCTAAAGATTAACAGAGTAGAAGGCCTTGAGGTCAAGGAATACTTTTTCGATGTCAAAACCTTCCGAAGGACGAATACTCGGTTTTTACAATCACGTATATGTATGAAACCAGTATGATTTTTTCAAGTTTGCTCTTCAGAAGCTCTAGCCAAACACTGAAGTATAAATGAGGCTAACATTTTAAACGCTACAATAGTTAAACTGATTCCTCTATGATTGTCACAAGAGGAATGGAATCCGATATTTAAAATTATATTTTTATTTAGATATAAAAAAGTCGATAAATGATCCAAACAAACCCTTACACACCAGTGTACAGACAACTAAATATACTGATTTCTATTTAGTTTACGATAACTAAATTCGACTTAATAAATATATCACGAGTAAAGCCTAAAAAAGTATCATTGAGGGAAAACCAGTGAAGAATGTCAGAGTATATGTAAACTCACTGATAAGTTGAGTTAACATCAATGATTACACAAAATTATCTGAAGGTTGAACTTCAAGACAAGATACATTTACAAAATATGTATTAATTAGCAAAATTTTGAATTCACCTGCAAGGGATCATCAAAAATGCCCAATTGATCACGGAGATACTTGCGTTTTTCGGCAATATCAAGTGCAGGCCACTGGGATCTCAGCTCATCCTCAAGCATCTTCTTATCTAGCTCTGGATTTTTCTGCATACGTATTTCCAATTCATCTTTCAAGAAAGTAGATAGCGATTCTGCCTCTTCTTCTATCGTCAAAGGAACATTGCTCATCAATTCTAGAAGCTCCCCTAGAGAGATGTAAGTTACTGGGCCTCAAATACCTTCTTCAGCTTTGTCTAACCTTCTAGATTTCTGTTTGACAGAAATCCGACCGAACCTTTCAATCCTTTCGTTTACTGTAAGGTTCATCGCCACTTCGGCTTCCTTCCACGACTGGATCCAAATGCTTTTGCTACTTGAAACAGATTTGCTTTCAAATTTAATCTTTTCCTTTAGAACAAAATAAACAAGACCCACACACACTTACAGATTTATCTTTGGTTGTGCGTAGCTTCTCTTGGACATACTCATCGAAATGCTTTTTGCCGGAAAACGGAATCAGATTATTAGCAGATACCCAAGCTCTTTCTACTAAAGGTCCGAGGAATTGCACATGATATATGAATGAACGCCCTGAAAACTCAATTAACCATTAGACTTTAACAAACCTTTCTCCTTTACATACGAGTCTCCATCAGGTGAATGATAAACCATACAAGGCCACCAAGGATGTGAACCGACCTTCGCCCAAAATATGTTACCCACCTGGTAATCATCAGAAATGCTAGGCATAATTTAACTATCCAGGATCAAAATAACGCACTGTTTACATTCCGCGCTTAAGTTCAAAATGCAAAGCTGCACTTTTTTACTAAAGCAAAAATAATTTGATTCGAATGAAAAAACATAATTGCGTAATTTTTTTAACCAAGATATTTTTGTGCTTATCGACATGACGATAAAACACCGCACATTTGAAGTTTGATGGATTGCGTTTCGAGATCGGGTGGTTGCTTCATCAGCTTCGCAACTTCCTGGGGTAAAAGTCATCCACCGGAGGATGTTCTTGATAAAAGGAAAGGTTCATTCTGGATTACCACTGGTCTGTTTCCGCAAATGTTGGTTATATCACTCGATCAGCCAAGGAAAGTCAGCCAAATCAAGATTGTTACTAGCAGGGTCAAAGCTCTCTGTGTATGTATTCAGAATAATATTTATTTTAGTTTACCAGCTTTGATTTAGACAATCATTTTGAACTTTTGACAGTTAAGAGTTTGGACATGAGGTTAATGACAATATATTATCATCTTTACTATATGTGGATGTCAACCTCAAGTGCTATTGTTTGTTGTTACTGAACTAATCATTACTGATGTGATCCCATCATCAGCTATGTCTTTAAAGCCAGGGAAACGTATCTCGAATAAAGATTATTTGTGCAGATACAATGATCGTGTGTGGTTGAACTATCTTTTGGCCAAGAAAATTCAATTTTCAAACTAAAGTCCTCGTAGGTAATGTTGTGGTACTGATAAGAATGGTGATACGTATATGAGTGTCATTTTGAATCCTCAGTAGGGCTATAACAAGGTTATGTGCTCAGGACGATTGACCAACATAAATGCAAGGCAATTTTTACCTCTTGCTTAAAAAACAAACTGGTTTTTAAGTTAAATTAAATTGAAATGTTAGTGGGTAATGAGTTAGTTTAATACACGTATCCGCAATAGAACCTTTTTAAGCAAAACTATGAGTACGCCGCTTCCTTATCAGTTGCTAGAAGGGCTGATAGAACTTCTCTACGTTTTACGATTACGTTTTTTTTGAATTACTACAAAGTGTACTCCTGATGTTTTAAAGCTTAACCCAAAGGCAGTACAAAGATAGAATACAGCACCACATATCAAGTATTGTAGAGGACCTGAAACTTAGTCAATAAATGTATTGTTTCTCATGAAGTATGGCCTGCTGATTTATTTCTTGAAACTAAATGGTTATGATATGTCTCGTTTTACAATTAAAGTAATAAGCGTGGTGTTGTACACTCTACATTGATAACCTACGAATATCACGAGTAGTATCAGCCAATGTATATCAAGTTGACTTTTTGTGTTTGACCTTAGATTTCATTGGGTAACAGAGTGAGAGTGAAGTGAAGTTCGTTGTCTGACATTTTCCTGTAATTTCTGTCCTGAACTTCAAGGTTTGAATATATATTTCGTACTACCTTAGTATGATATTTATGCTTAAGATTTTCACTTTGTTGATGGTTTTATTGTTTTCGTCTTTTTTATGTATCTAGATATACTCATATTACTTAATTTCTGACTATTTAGCACCTACTTTAAAAACGTATGTTTGTACCATAATTTACTAACCCCTACTGACCAGATTGAAGGGTATTTGTCAATAAGATCACTTATCGCGCTTCATATTGTTGCCTGATAGCAAGTAAATCTGCAGAATCTCGGTAAATTCATCTTGTTTTTTAAGGAACAATATTTGTTGAGGACAATTTACTATATTCGTTAGCAAGCACATTAGTTACGCTAACTAAGGAATTTTTTATGTTCATAGAGTCCATTTTTCCCACGTAAAGGCGAGTGAATTTATAGAAAATAGTAACTATTCAAATATGATTATCATCTGAAAAGTTCATGCTACTGAGTATTATTAAATAGATCGAGTTTTTGACTAAAATATTGGTGGATCTGTTCTGTTCTTACTTTGCTTATGGTAAGATTTGCGTAAACTTTCTCTTAAAATCTTTTCGTATCTCGACACTCTAAGTTCTGTGGGATTTGATAGATTTACCAGAGGTGGAATGGTAATGTTTATCGACAATATAGAGCAGCAAATGTTCAAACGTGAATTGTACTTGAAATGGTATCGCCTGCCTCTTTAATAAACAAATTCTAACAAAGCTTAGTATATGAAATCCTATAAATGCTTTGTAATAAGCCATGTTAAAGTGTGGAGATAAACAATATGAGCTTAAATTTTAAAGTCTCTCTGGGTCCGAAATTTACGCCTATGCGGTACTCACCCTTTTAAAACAATTCTCTGATAATAACTATTAGTTTTTAGATGTTTTTTTCCATAGCACAAAAACAAATCAACACGTCCATAAGTGTACAGTCTGCTATAATATCATAGTAGCTCAGTACAAATCCTTCTTATATATGTGTATATCCCATTAACCTTTCTTTGATAATCATTATTGCATTATAAATTTTTAATGAGTGACACCAGTGCTTATTTCCACCCGTTATAACGCTTATCAAAGTGCAATTGGATTTCTCATATCGAAGTTGCTAAAATTCGTTTTAAAATTCCACAGATCAGTCAAAAATTAGTTGTATAAACTTATAATCTTCAGATTCACATACAAGCATTTAGTGGTAAGTCTTTCACATCACATCGCCTTATGAATTTATTAGCCTTCATCATTTTTAGCTGTTACGTGTTCAAGTAACATGAAAAACTAAATAAGTAACTGAGGAACATAAAGGAAATTCAGCAAAGAAAGATTTCTGATCGATAATATTATTTACTAAACCTGTACAATCCTATTGATTTTGATTTTATAAATAGCTGAATATGTGGCGACTTCAAGTATTAAAGGACAGTTGTGTAGTGATCTAGACGTCAACAAATGAAAGAAAGTTTAAAAACAATGTTCTGAGAACATTACCCAGGGTGTAGTGGACGAGAACTCAGATGGAAGAAAACCAATTTATTGTTCAATGAAGCATCACAGTGGTTTAGTAAAGTGTGAACATTATACATCAAATACATCGTTTGGACATCTTTGAATAGTTGCTCGCAAGCCTCATTGTTCCTTCATTCCTGTTGTGATCTTGGCTGCCTTCAGTTTCTTTTTCTCTTCTTTTCAGTTCAATCTTCTCAACCTTCCGCTCACAAACATTTCATTTCCAACTGGTGTTACACACACTGCCTATATCTGCCGATATAAGTAACATACATCACAAAGGTAATATTTATAAGGAGAATCCAAAGTAATCAGCAACTCAGGACAGAAGCGTATCACCAGCCCCGAGCACGTTATTCCACCAGAATCATCGTTCAAAACTATCTATTTGGTTAAACGAGTGTGATCAAAAGATCAAACCAAAAAGTTTTTCACTGCTGATGCTTTAGAAATTCGCTCATTCAAGTTCAAGTGCAAAACAACGTGTGTAGTCTCGTATCCTCCCGTGGCTATAACATTCCTTCTAATACGTCTAAATTTCGTGTTTTATGATTACGTTTTACTTCGATAATTAGTAACCAGTTGTTATCTCAACACAATTTTTTCTAATTATTATTCAACCGTTATTATCACCTTTACAATTTTTATTTCTTCGTTATATCCATCAAGTGGACAATTATCCCACTTATTTCTGGCCCATAAACTGTTTCAACTTTTATATTGTTCGTTAAACCCTGGTGTTAGCGGGACATAGATTGAATTAAAGCATGCTCAATGTACGACTGTTTTGATGCACGCTGATTGGCTAATTCATATCGAATCAGCGCTAGTCGTTGCTTGGAGAACACTATAAATCTTCTCATGTAAAAACTATAAATATACTAACGTTTTTCCTATTGTGCTTTTTTTACTTCCATCTAATGTTGTTATTTGAAATATAATCTCTTTCCTGTTCAACTGTGTTCTGATTTGGGAACTTGTTGAGTGAATCGGTGTCCAAAAATACTAAGCAATAGGAATAGCTGGGTTATAACCATAAGAGAGAATTATAACACTTGGATAATACTTGAAATCTCCAAATACTTCATGATATAATTTCTTTTCACAATTCTATGGACTCACTTTATTTATTAAATCATAATAAAGGCGACCGTAAAGATTTTGTAAAAATTTTCCTTTGCTGAATTCCTTGATTATTTGTTCATTGAACTTCACCACTCTTTTCTATTCTGTTAAAAAATCAATTATGTTTATCAATAACGTTTTTTTGGAGATTACTAACTTTAAAAGTGGCTTGGATCAACAATCAATGAAATATCAGTAACATGTAACCGGTAGAATAGTGCTTAATCACACTAACTATACCCCAATTTTTCTGGGAATTCAACATCATCAAATAAATCACTTTGAAGCATAAGAATTCGGATTGAAGTATATTCGAAGAAATAATTTGTCTAACTTTTTTCTCACCTACTGTTTTGTACTTTTAGATCTATATTGATGATTATGTCTAAAAGTCATATTTGAAATTTAAATAATTCCAACGTTTCCTCTAAGATATTACTATGAAGAAGTCCAGATAATTCTGCTGAACAAAACGTTGGAATTATTTAAATTTCAGTCCCTGAGATTATTTCAAATATAATTTTCACATATAATGGCTTCTCTATACTCGGAGCCCAATTTTTGTCAAATTATTCGTTCTAGCATTGACGAATATTCGTATATATTGGTGGTTGATTATCTGTTAATCAGCCTTATTTAAAAGTGATTATTCGGCCAAACGTTATTATTCTCTAACTCATATTATTTATTATGATTGGATTGTGGATTTTTAATGATATTATTATAACCGTCTATTTATCCAGTATATTTGTCACATTTACCTATATATTCAGTGTAATGTAACCATTTTTTAATTCACTTCCCATATTTCATGTGTGATTTTTATTCTCGTTCTGTCAAACAGGTTGAAACTAGTTCACATACAGAACCAGATAATTTTAAATTGAAGTTCGAGAAAACTTTACCTCATTCAGATGGACAACTACAAATTACAGAACTACCAATCAACGATACTCATTTACATCATGTTCGCTTAAAAATACTTTCTGGTTACAATCACTTTGTTGCCGTTTATAAAGTGTTATTTGATGGAAAATAATACATAGAAAACATCTGTCTCTCTCCCTCTCTTTCTTTGTATGGTTAACGTTTGTTTGTCGACTATTCAGCTTTATAATTCATGAATTCAACCATCATCATCAACATCAATTATTTTATTACATGTACAAAATCGGAATGCACCTCTTTTAAAATTGACTTGGAACATCTTTTTCATTAAGATCAATCATTAAAATTCAATAAATATAGAACAACAATAAACCGTGTAAAACTTACATTAAATTCTGTGTAAATCGAATGGTTTTCTTTTACATTTAGTCAGCATAATATGATTCTGGATTTCGGATTGAAATAACATTGAGTTTGATATTGATTGTGATATATCTGTAATCTCATTATCAAAAATTTGATTTATATATGTACACTTCATTTGCACGTGTATCCGAAATCTGAAATTTTTACACTTCTTTTACCTGGGATAGATATCTTCACAGTGTAATGTGACATAGTTTAATCATAAACTAAATAGAGTATCTATACCAGTAGAAAACGAATCATTCAGTCAATTAACGACCTTAGAATTTTGTATGTTGTATTCCTTAAATATTGGTCCCAGTTAAGGTAATGTTGGAAACTAGGAGGCACTAAATAGCTGTTTTGTCGCAATATGAAATCCCTCATCTTTACATACCCTCTTAACCAAGGATCGAAACCAGTATTTTTATTTCTCATGCTAGACACTTAAACATTAGAAACACTGAGTCAGCGTTCAATGACAGTGTTAACTTCGACCAATTTGGGTCATAACACAGTGATCATCAACCGACCTTGATGACAAATGTCTCTCCTGATGTCTAAATTCTACCAGTCACAACCACTCACTGGGAATCCAGGAAAATCTTGACGTCAATCACGAGCAATTGGACTGTTATGGTTTAATAAATAGGGTTGTCAAAAGAAAGTTATGCATACCACTGAAAAATACTGAAATTCACTTATTTGACTAGTATCATAAAATTCAATACTTTAGTTTGTCGTATGGTGAGATAGATTAGGATGTTTGTTACTTTTATGTTGCATAACAATTTATACAATAAATTACTGACAGATTAACACAATGTCTCATTACTTGCTGAGCGACATTCTCAACTCATCATCAACTTATGTCATTTCTTACGCCACTAACATAACGTTCACTTATCCATTTCGTTACCATACTTGTCACAAGATTTTTTAAGTTTTAGAACTGCAAATCAGATAGCTAAATGAAAACCAAAAACGTTTACAAGTTAGACTTATAACCCATGTGACTACTGATTTAACATAGAAGACGATAGTGTGCTACAATTTCGAGAGTCATTTTTTCGTGATAGTGAATTTAGTAAAAACCGCTTGACTCTAACTAGAAACCGGATTCGAGTCCCGGAGCGAACATCAGTCCTTAGATGTATTTACCCTCAGTTGACAAGTCCCAAAACGGACGAAACGCGCACCCTGGATTCCACTGTCTATCTCTCTTAATCATGCTTTCTTTTCAGTTGCATAATCTTTAATTTATCAACTGTAAAATAATAGTGCAACCAAATGACGATATGGAATTTTATTAAATATACAATGCTGTTGCATAATTCCGTTGTAGATGAAGATCTATCAATGAGTGAAAACAGAAACTTCTAGTTATCTATTTTAGGATCAAGCATTCACTTGATGTTTTCACCTGTCAATGAAATGAAATTTATCAAAATACTTAGATGATAATATGAGTTTCTTGTAATTTACAATCCTTTTTTTTTTCTATAACAGAAAGAAAGAATATTCTATTATTCATTATTATTTAAAATTCGTACTTTTCAATGACTAAAAAAACGAGATATTATCGTTTCTACGCTCAAAGTTTACTCATAAAATTTCCACTTGGTATTGTATTTTCCATTTATTAGAAAGTGAAAATCTCTATTAATACTTTATAATAACATTTACTTAGTGTTCAAATTTTCACAGGACATGAAATCTGAAATCGATTTGAACATTTAAAATTTTCCTTATACATATTTCTGATGCAATAAAAAAGGAACAAAATTTTCTGCAAAATCTATCTCTTGAAAAAGAGATATTTAAAAATGTGCACTACCAAATTCATAGGGTAAAGATTAATGCAAATGAAGTAGTTATTATTATATAACAAGACACTACATATCAACCCAGCAGAGATCCTCTGAGAGAAACACAAATAAATTGACTTTTAATTGTACCAAATTATACATAGCTTTGCTATATATATTTGTCAGTTGACCAGTTATAAGAAATCTTTTATCTGAACTTCACAGTTAGATAAAACGAAAATATTTTCTATCAAAGATACTAGACGCCAATATCAGTATCCGTGGTATTGGTAATTGGTAGGTTTCGTCTCTTTTTAAGCAAGTTCAACTAACAAATTTGTTTTATTTAATTTCTTGTCATATTTATAGCTTTTTCCTGTTAACTTGTCACTGTTCACGTAGATTTATTTATTTTGACAATTCGAAGTTTTACAATTTTAAAGATCAGTGTTGAACCATAACTTATTCTAAGTATTACATGTAGGTACATAGGATGAATACCTTATCAACTGTTCTTACACATTTTTATGACTGACATTCTATCTAGTAAATGAGTTATCATTAACTGAACTTTCCCTCTAATGAGATCTAATATTTAACTGAAGTATATGTACTCTGAACTCCGCCTGTAGCTCTTATAGGGTTACTGCCGGTCCCAAGCCCGGTTAAAGGAGGAGGGTTGGGCATGGGGTTAGCTTCCCCTCCTATCACGTACACACGAACAGATGCAGATGAAGACAGCCAGTGTAGCAGCAGTCTCTGCATCAGTAGGCCTCAGCATACACAAAGGGAAAACCAAAGTCCTCAAATTCAAAGCGGAAAACAACAATCCAATCACTCTTGATGGCGAAACTCTGGAAAATCTAGTCCTTCACATACCTAGGAAGCATCATCGATGAACAAGGAGGTTCAGATGCAGACGTAAAGGCAAGGATTGGCAAAGCAAGGACAGCATTCCTACAATTAAAGAACATATGGAACTCAAAACAACTTTCAACCAATATCAAAGTGAGAATCTTCAATACCTACGTCAAGGCAGTTCTACTGTATGGAGCTGAAACTTGGAGAACTACAATAACCACAATCCAGAAAGTACAAGTATTTATAAATAGCTGTCTTCGCAAGATACTCAATATCCATTGGCCGGATACCATCAGCAATAGCCTTCTGTGGGAGAGAACAAACCAACTTCCAGCTGAAGAAGAAATTAGGAAAAGACGATGGAACTGGATAGGACATACATTACGCAAATCGTCAAACTGCATCACGAGGCAAGCCCTAACTTGGAATCCTGAAGGGAAGCGAAAAAGAGGAAGGCCAAAGAACACATTGCGTCGGATAATAGAAGCAGATATGAAAACGATGAATTACAACTGGACGGAGCTAGAAAGGATTGCCCAGGACAAGTTTGGATGGAGAATGCTGGTAAGCGGCCTATGATCCTTCACGAAGAGTAACAGGCGTAAGTAAGTAAGTAATATGTACTCAGTGATTTTAACTACACTCGACTGAATACTGTGATATGTATGCTTACTCACAACGTTCGATGATATTCGATAGAATATATTATTTTGCTCAACTGAGTCAACGTAATACGATAAACTACATAGTTTATAATGTGTATGAGTTTTTGGGTTTGATTGTTTTATTTATTTTATCTGTACTATGAATTCCATCTAAAATCTTAAATATATCTCCTTATCATAGCAACATCTAAAAAACAAGGAATTTTTTATTAATCTTGTTTCAATTAATGCTAATATTACTACGTGCTTTTTTTCTTGATAGTTCTTCGGAACTTCCTGATTATAAAATCGCAAATTACAATATTCGACAGGATACTTAGGTTTTAGGTCATTCTAAGTTATGGAAAAGTCATGATAAAAGGCTTAATTATTAAAATCACGAATGTAAATGGTAAACAATGGAAACTAAATAGGAAAAAGAAATCAAAAGCAACCATGAGGAAACAAACATTCTAATTGATCT